TAATTCCTCTCTGGCCCTCTGTCGGCAAGATGCCTACAGCCGCCTCTGTCGTGGACGCATTAACCGTGTTCTTCTCTCCTAGCGACCCGGCCGACATGGAGGCGGATCCAGGTCAAGCCCTGTGAAAACCCCGGAAAAGGTGATGTGACACTTAAGGTTATTCAAAAATGATAATTGTGAATGACTCAGTGTCCCGAATGTAAGAGAAACCTATGAAGAGGTGAAGCCGTATGTTTACCTGTGTCCTTCTACACAGTATGGAGACAGCGTGTGTGTTCTGTGTGTGTGAGTGTGTGTGTTTGTGTGAGTGTGTGTGACACTGTGTGTCTTCTCAGGAGATATTGTCAATTGACACAGCACGATCACCAGGGTCGATATTCTTAAAACTAAAACCCATTGTGATCACACACTTCATATGCGTTTCCTCCTTTGACCCTCACGAGAGCCGTATCTGGGTGTATTATCCCCACTGCTCAGCTGGAGACACTGAAGTGCAAAAATGAGCCACCCGAACTCTGGAGTCTCTGATTGGAAAGATCAAAAGATGAACCCAGACACAGGGCTGAATGCCGACGCTCTCAGCCGCCGACGTGCACTTGAGACTCGGTCATGGGGTGTCCAGCACCAGGCAGGGGGTTGGGCATTCCCGGGCAAGATGTCAAGTGCTGAGCCTGAGAGATCCCAGACACCGTCCCTCCTTAGCAAGCAGATTCAGTAGTTACATAAGCCAGGGTGGATCCGGTGCATTCTCCCACGGACCGGCACAGTCATCGCTATGAAAAACACACAGCGATCCAGAGGCTTCCACTCGGTTCGCAGAGCCTAAGAGGTGTGTGGGACCACACAGGACAGTGTGGCCCACTTCTGTCCATGCTGAGTTCATTTTGCCCAACAGCTGGCCAAAGCCTACAAGAACCAGGGATATAGTTTAGTAGATTTTGTGTTACTATCTCCACAAGTCCTACAGTGCTCCAATCCTGCCAGATACAAATGGGAAGGTCAATGACAAGTGGGGACTCCACGCACCAAGTGGTCATTAGCCTGGTTTCCATCACCCTGTTGCAGCTGTCCCGTAGACCTGCCTTAAACACACTCAGCACTGCCAATGCACTGGCATAAACTGATTCATAACATCCGCTTGTCTGCTTTTTATTCTCTGCTACCTGTCTAGTTATGTCATCCTATTGATGTCTGACATGAATTTTTGTGATTTCTTTCTGATAAATTTCACTGAAGACTTGTGCGTTATACTTTTCTCAGAGAACCAACTATGGGCTCTCTTCCTTCTCCCTGTGATTATCCTTATTTTCTCTTTCATTCGTTTCTCTTGTCATCTGCATATACTTCAATGACATGATTTGGGTTTATTCTGATGTTATTTTTTCTAACTTAAGTTGGATATTGACTTCATTGGTTTCCAGCCTTTCTGGAAATTACTATACACTGTTGTCACATCATGCTCTTTGCTGCATCTCCCAATTGTTGATTTGCATGGTTTTCATCATTAGTAAGTATTGCCTAATTTTCATTATGATTTATAGACATTTAAGTTTAGAAGGATGCTTTCAATATTCTCAAGTTGCAACAAATGGCCTTGTGAGTGAGCCTTTCCATATTTTTGCCAGTACACCTTTGGGATAGATTTTGAGATGTTGGGTGGTGGGTCAAAAGGCCACAACGCCTATGCACTGTTGCTAAATTCTGCCTCATTTTTCTCCACAGGTATCGAATCTCTCTCTCTTGGCAGTGGTGTATGCACAACCACAGGTAAGAGTGAGATGTGAAACTTTTGCCATTTTGTCACTGAAGTGGTATCTCAGTATAGTTTTGATTTTTTCTATTAATTTTATAATTTAACTCTTTTATTCTTTTTTCTTTTTATCATTTTTCTTCATTCAGCTCTTTTCAGAAGTTGTGCATAGTTTTGATTTTAATTTTTCTTTCTTTCTTTTTTTTTTTTTTTGAGACAGAGTCTCACTTTGTTGCCCAGGCTAGAGTGAGTCCCGTGGCATCAGCCTAGCTCACAGCAACCTCAATCTCCTGGGCTCAAGCAATCCTCCTGCCTCAGCCTCCCGAGTATCTGGGACTACAGGCATGCGCCACCATGCCCAGCTAATTTTTTTGTATATATATTTTTAGTTGATCAATTAATTTCTTTCTATTTTTAGTAGAGATGGGGTCTTGCTCAGGCTGGATTTGAACTCCTGACCTTGAGCAATCCACCCGCCTCGGCCTCCCAGAGTGCTAGGATTACAGGCGTGAGCCACCATGCCTGGCCTAATTTTTCTTTTTTGAATGCAATTAAGAGCCATTTGTGTTTTTTTCTTGGAACTGTTGGTTCATGTCTCTAACATGCTTCCATGGGGTGGGTGGCAGTGTTTTCTGCCCTCGTTTTAGAGACTTAAGTAGGTTAAAATCTTTGTCATATACTAGGCACATATTTTTTCCTATTCATCATTTATCTTTTGGGTTTTGTTCACTGAACTTTAGGCCATACCAATGTTTTCTAGTTTCCTATAATACAATTTAATTATATGTTGCCAAGTGTTTCTTCTGACACTTTTAAGGCCCTGTGATGGCTGTGGTACAGTCACCTGGGCTGCACTGACGAAGGGCAGCTAGTGTCAGTTGAAACGGGAGCTGTGTTTCCCTTGTTTTTGATCAACTGTTTATCTGTGCTTGTTTCAGAAAACCGTACAAAGGATACAGTTTCAGAAAACCGTACAAACAATACGGTTTCAGAAAACCGTACAAGCAATTGCCAGGAGGCCACAGTGCACCCTCGCGGGCCAGGAGTTGGCAAGTACTGTGTCAGCTACCCCCGCTGCCCCAGGACCCCCCCGAGGGTGCCATCCACCTGCATCAAGCCTCAGCTTGGAACCGTGGTGGCATCCAGGTGCCCTCCTGGCCCCCGGCACCTGCCCAACTACAGCAGACCACGGCTCCCGCCCTTGCTGGCTGCCCCCAGGTGCAACCGCGTGCTGCCCTTGCCACAGCCCCAGTGGTCCTCTGGACCCTTGTGGGAGCAGACGCGTGGCATTCAAAGAAGTCCTTTCCCTGGGGCCGCTGCGGGGCATCCCTACCCTGCATACTCACGCGTCAGCAGGACACCGAGGAGGCAATGAGCTGACCCTGTGGGTGGAGGTGGCCTGGTGCAAGACGACCCCCGGATTCTGCCCAGTTCCTGGTGCGACGCCAGCAGTAGCCAGGGGGAGGCCCCCAGGGAGACCCCCGCCAGGTCCTGGGCCCGCAGTCCCCATTTCCTGTGCCACCCAAGCTGGACCTCAGGGCGCGGACGGCAGGGATATACCAGACCCAGCGATTGCTAGGAAGTAGCAATGGTCCCAGTGACACGAAGAGCGCGATCTGTCTTGTTTGGACTGTGGAGCCACTGGTCACCGTTCTCAGGGCTGCAAGCAGCTGTCCACGGACTTCACCCGACAGGGTACCATTTTTAGGTTGAAACACGCCCTGCCAGCAGAAAGTCTCGACTCCGCACGTCGACGTTTTTCTCTGGCAATGGAAAATTATGGAAGCATAAGGAAAATTCCACACAAAACTGAGAAGTGTAGTTGCTGCTGAGCTTAATACTTTGAATCCAAAGGTACTTTACCAGACTGGATAGAACACAAGTGCATCAAGCTCGGCTTTACTGCCAAAATCCTAGAGTGGGGCGTCAGGGATGGCAGGACTGGCCCGGAGGCCATCTCCGTGGTGGTGGATGAGCCGTCTGCACTTTTGGTGGCAGTGCAGAGACCTCATGTCTCCTGAAGAGCATCACCATCCCTGGTCCTTCGAGCCACACGTGTCCTTCCGGGGCAGCCATGTGTGCTGAAGGTTGGAGGACTCAACTTAATACACAGCTGAGATTTTCATAGTTCCTTTCCTCCTACAAACCCTTGTCCCAGTTTCAGGTTTTTAACTGTTTTCTGCTAATAAATTTAAAATGTTATTGAAGGGAAAGAGTTTTACTCACAACAACTCAATGTCCAAGGGTCCACGTCCCAGAGATCCATAGTCATGAAAGCTTTGGGAATCCCTTCCTTCTCAGCCGTTCAGTGGCTTAGAGCCCCGGTATCTTCCTCTATGAAGGAACACTTTCAGGGACAGGGGACAGTGCCAGCATGGCTTTGTAGTTAGCTATAGGGATGCTGCATGTCCTTCGTAGAGTTTGTAAGTTGCTTTCTCTCACATGGGCTCGCCGAGAACGCCCAGCCCTGAAGCATTCTGCTAACAGATCCGCACCTGGGCCAGACAGTTCAGCAGGAGTACACTCGTCATTTATGAGCCACATACAGGCAGTTTTCTCCTGTCGACTACGTTTGTATTAGGCAGAGTACTTATGGTTAATTCCATTAGAAATTAGCTGGAAAACTTCTGTGGAAACTCGGGGCACTGTGGAAAACGCCACACACAGAAGGCAGCCACGAGATCTGGTACAAGCGTGGTTTTAGGAAAATAGGCAATAAACGTCCTCATTGTAGATCTCTCATTTTCAACCCACTGAATGAAGGCATTTTCATGTATAATTTAGGGATTTAATTCTTCGATGGTAAAGGGAATTTTCTGTCCAAATAATATTATTGAATATGCAAAAGCCTTCAATATTTAAATATTGTAGAGGTGGTAGTGACTTTGAACATTACCCAGCTGTACTGAGGTTCACACCTGAGCACAGGTGAACTGGGCTTTACCACCAGCTGTCTCCAGCGCTGGGCATGCGCATTTGCCAGATGAGTGCTGGCTGCACCCTCAGGGCTGTCGTCTTCCAGTCACTCTTCCTGTTGCTGGTGTTCGGTTTCACGCCTGGCTCCTTTACGCCCTGATAACTGATGGCATCAGACGCTGAGGTCACCATGGCTGTGAGGGACACCATCTCCCTGCCCACCTCCACCCCCACGGCACAGAAAGGGCCCTGTGCACCCTGAGTGGGGACGGTCTGTTTTGGTGCTTTTCTACATTTGCATTCTATTTGATATAAAAAGGTTTTCACCAACAACTAGAAGAGTTAAATATTGTTTAATGTAACAAACTTCAACGTTGACTATAAAATATCTCTAAAGATAATTCTAAATACACACAATTCCCAAAATAAATAACTGGAGCTACATTAGCTGACTTGGAGAGGACAAGCAGGGAGCTGGGCCCTGTCCTGTGTGTGGCCTCGTGTCTGATTCAAGCTTCCCGACACTGGGCGAGCTCCAGCGCCTCGGAGGCCCAGGCTGAGATCTGCACATCACGGCCTTCCCAGGTATCGGTACAGGAGTCTGCAACGCAGACACAGGCGCAAGGGTGCCTGGGGAGACAGAGGGAGGAGAGGCTCACTGGGGTGGGTGTGCAGGACCCAGAAGGCTTTGCAGGCCCAGGAAGGTGACCCTGGCCACTGATCCCTGGGGTCAGGTCCTCGGCACTGAGGCCTGTTTCCTGCTCTCTGCTGAGGGTATCGTCTGTCCACAGGGAGTGTCTATAAATGTCCTATTAGAGCAGATTAGCACAGGCATTCACCTGGGCAGACTTCAGGGACTGGTTCCCAGGATGGTGGGGTGGCCCTGTGACCGCCCTCTTCTCCAAAGTAAGACAGCCAGTGAAGGGCTTGGCCTGGCAGCCTTAGGGGCTTATATGGAGTGGGTATATGTTCCCTGTGACATGTTCTCAGGACACTCCTCACTTGCCTACACTGATTTTAAACCACCCACTTGTCTCTCCTTGCATGGTCCTATGCAATCATGGCCACCCTGATGTCCTTGGTCTTGTTGCTTTCCTGAATTGCTGAAAAGCAAGTTAGGGACACGATGGGGAATGTGTGCACTGGTTTGCCTTCTGCTTTTCCTCCTACCCTCTCCACACTCACATTTCCTCTTCCCGTTCTTCTATGTCTCCTTTTACTTCCTTGATCCCTTCTCTTGAATCCAGGACAAGTGGATTTCTGGAACCAGATTCCTATTGGGAGAATTTTTTTTTAATTGTGTCATCTTAACATCTGGAAGGAAGAGAATGACTGTGCATAATGTCCAGAGCCCCCATTGCAGGAAAACCCCAGTGAAGGGGGCTGCCCAGAGCAGACCCAAACGTCACTGGGGGTCCAGTCCAGCAGGTGGAGCCCCAGGTCCCCTGACCCCAGTCCTGCTCCTTGCCTGGAACATTCCAGGCTGCTCAGCAGGGGTCCCAGCTGCAGCTTGTGGGGCAGAAACCATGGCAATGCTGAGAAAGAGGGGAGGAGGCTGGAGAGAGATGTTACAGAGAGCACAGATCCAAAGACCCACTGCCTGGATGTGACCAGGACCTTCAGGATGACAATCATGAACCGAGGGAAAGAGGGAACGGGGAAAGGGTACCCAGAGGAGTTGATGTATAGGAAAAAGAACTAAAAAGAGATGGAAATAGGAAATAAATTACATACAGATTGCTGGTCTATTCTTCATCTGAAAAGGATGCTTCAGCATGGACCAGAGCAGTGATGGTGACCAGGTGGCCTTAGGAAAAGAAAGGATAGTTAGATTTGAGGTCAGAACTTGGGCCTTGCTGCTCCTGGTGTTTTATAGCCCAGCACAGAACTTAATTCTTCATCTCTGCAGGTCTATCTTAGAACCTCATTACTTCACCTCTGCAATGAGAAATGGGGCTAGGACCTTCAGGGCCCCTTTCCTAGCCAAAATTCTATAACTGTAACTAGGAAGAGATGCCTGTGTCATCCTGTCCTTCCTAAAGGCAGCCATTGTCCCCATGGCCTCCTGTGCATAGACAAATAAGGAAGAAAAAACCCCAGGCCCTTGCCCTTGCAGTCTCCTGGAAGCCACTCAGCTGGTGAGGATTGCAACAATGGCTTCCCCCCTTTGGGTCTACACTGCCATGATCAGAAGCAGTAATCTGCATTCTTTCTTTTTTTGTTTGAGACAGAGTCTCGCTTTGTTGCCCAGGCTAGAGTGAGTGCCATTGCATCAGCCTAGCTCACAGCAACCTCAAACTCCTGGGCTCAAGCAATCCTACTGCCTCAGCCTCCCGAGTAGCTGGGACTACAGGCATGCAATGCACCACCATGCCTGGCTATATTTTCTATATATATTAGTTGGCCAATTAATTTCTTTCTATTTATAGTAGAGACAGGGGCTCACTCTTGCTCAAGTTGGTTTCGAACTCCTGACCTGGAGCAATCTGCCTGCCTCAGCCTCCCAGAGTGCTAGGATTACAGGAGTGAGCCACCGCGCCTGGCCAAGAATCTGCATTCTTAATACAAATCCCCAATATTTGGAGGGAAAAGTTTTTAATACTCATTGTGGCTCCCCCAAGTTGCACTAGGAGTGGTTTGTATAGCTTCTTTTTTTTTTTTGGAGACAGAGTCTCACTCTTGTTGCCCTAGCGTAGAGTGCTGTGGCATCAGCCTAGCTCACAGCAACCTCAAACTCCTGGCTAAAAGAGATCCCTGCCTCAGCCTCCTGAGTAGCTGGGACTACAGGCATGCACCACCATGCCCAGCTAATTTTTCTATATATTTTTAAGTTGGCCGATTAATTTCTTTCTATATTTTTTAGTAGAGATGGGTCTCACTCTTGCTCAGGCTGGTTTCGGACTCCTGAGCTCAAACAATCTTCTCAACTTCTCTTTGTATCCATCAGGTGAGATCCTGGAAGATGTATTACACTAGAAAGAGCTATTGATATCTTGCTGTTGCAAGATCATAGGAAAACTAGTAATAATTTCTTCACAGTTCAAATTTTTGAACCCCTGGTCACCAGCTTGGCAACAGAGCTACCTGGAATCAGAATGGTCATGAGGAAATCTTGTAGCATGGTGTGCACTTAAAACATCCAACAGGCTGATCGCTGTGGCAAATGCTTTTATTAAGATAAGGTCATTGGCTGGGCATGGTAGCTCACACCTGTAATCCTAGCACTTTGAGAGGCTGAGGCGGGAAGATCCACTTGACCAGGAAGTTTAAGACCACAAGCCAAAGGTACTTTACCAGACTGGATAGAACACAAGCGCATCAAGCTCGGCTTTACTGCCAAATCCTAGAGTGGCGCGTCAGGGATGCAGGGACTGGCCCGGAGCCATCTCCGTGGTGGTGGATGAGCCGTCTGCACTTTTGGTGCAGTGCAGAGACCTCATGTCTCCTGAAGAGCATCACCACCTGGTCCTTCGAGCCACACGTGTCCTTCCGGGCAGCCATGTGTGCTCTGAAGGGAGAACTGAAGGTTGGAGGACTCAACTTAATACACAGCTGAGATTTTCATAGTTCCTTTCCTCCTACAAACCCTTGTCCCAGTTTCAGGTTTTTAACTGTTTTTCTGCTAATAAATTTAAAATGTTATTGAAGGGAAAGAGTTTTACTCACAACAACTCAATGTCCAAGGGTCCATGTCCCAGAGATCATAGTCATGAAAGCTTTGGGAATTCCTTCCTTCTCAGCCGTTCAGTGGCTTAGAGCCTCGGTATCTTCCTCTATGAAGGAACACTTTCGGACAGGGACAGTGCAGCATGGCTTTGTATTAGCTATAGGATGCGGAGCTGCGCGTCCTTCGTAGAGTTTGCAAGTTGCTTTCTCTCACATGGGCTCGCCGAGAACGCCCAGCCTGAGGCATTCTGCTAACAGATCGCACGGGCTAGACGGTTTCAGCAGGAGGACACTCGTCATTTATGAGCCACATACAGGCAGTTTTCTCCTGTCGACTACGTTTGCATTAGGCAGAGTATTATGGTTAATTCCTTAGAAATTAGCTGGAAAACTTCTGTGGAAACTCGGGCACTGTGGAAAATGCTACACACAGAAGGCAGCCACGAGATCTGGACAAGCGTGGTTTTAGGAAAATAGGCAATAAACGTCCTCACTGTAGATCTCTCATTTTCAACCCACAATGAAGGCATTTTCATTATTAATTTGGGGATTTAATTCTTCGATGGTAAAGGAATTTTCTGTCCAAATAATATTATTGAATATGAAAAGCCTTCAATATTTAAATATTGTAGAGGTGGCAGTGACTTTGAACATTACCCAGCTGTACTGAGGTTCACACCTGAGCACAGGTGAATTGGGCTTTACCACCAGCTGTCTCCAGCGCTGGCATGCGCATTTGCCAGATGTGCTGGCTGCACCCTCAGGCTGTCGTTTCCAGTCACTCTTCCTGTTGCTGGTGTTCGGTTTCACGCCTGCTCCTTTACGCCCTGATAACTGATGGCATCAGATGCTGAGGTCGCCATGGCTGTGAGGGACACCATCTCCCTGCCCACTTCCACCCCCACGGCACAGAAAGGCCCTGTGCACCCTGAGTGGGGAGGTCTGTTTTGGTGCTTTTCTACATTTGCATTCTTTTGATATAAAAAGGTTTTCACCAATAACTAGAAGAGTTAAATATTGTTTAATGTAACAAACTTCAACGTTGACTATAAAAATATTCTAAAGATAATTCTAATACACACAATTCCAAAATAAATAACTGGAGTACATTAGCTGACTTGGAGAGGACAAGCAGGGAGCTGGGCCCTGTCCTGTGTGTGGCCTCGTGTTGACAGACTTCCGACACTGGGCGAGCTCCAGCGCCTTGGAGGCCCAGGCTGAGATCTGCACATCATGGCTTCCCAGGTATCGGTACAGAGTCTGCAACGCAGACACAGGCGCAAGGGTGCCTGGGAGACAGAGGGGAGAGGCTCACTGGGGTGGGTGTGCAGGACCCAGAGGTTCGCGGCCCAGGAAGGTGACCCTGGCCACTGATCCTGGGTCAGGTCCTCGGCACTGAGGCCTGTTTCCTGCTCTCTGCTGAGGGTATCGTCTGTCCACAGGGAGTGTCTATAAATGTCCTATTAGAGCAGATTAGCACAGGCATTCACCTGGGCAGACTTCAGGACTGGTTCCCAGGATGGTGGGTGGCCCTGTGACCGCCCTCTTCTCCAAAGTAAGACAGCCAGTGAAGGGCTTGGCCTGGCAGCCTTAGGGGCTTATATGGAGTGGGTATATGTTCCCTGTGACATGTTCTCAGGACATCCTCACTTGCCTACACTGATTTTAAACCACCCACTTGTCTCTCTTGCATGGTCCTATGCAATCATGGCCACCCTGATGTCCTTGGTCTTGTTGCTTTCCTGAATTGCTGAAAAGCAAGTTAGGGACACGATGGGAATGTGTGCACTGGTTTGCCTTCTGCTTTTCCTCCTACCCTCTCCACACTCACATTTCCTCTTCCCGTTCTTCTATGTCTCCTTTTACTCCTTGATCCCTTCTCTTGAATCCAGGACAAGTGGATTTCTGGACCAGATCCTATTGGGAGAATTTTTTTTTTAATTGTGTCATCTTAACATCTGGAAGGAGAATGACTGTGCATAATGTCCAGAGCCCCCATTGCAGGAAAACCCCAGTGAAGGGGCTGCCCAGAGCAGACCCAAACGTCACTGGGGGTCCAGTCCAGCAGGTGAGGCCCAGTCCCCTGACCCCAGTCCTGCTCCTTGCCTGGAACATTCCAGGCTGCTCAGCAGGGGTCCCAGCTGCAGCTTGTGGGCAGAAACCATGGCAAGCTGAGAAAGAGGGGAGGAGGCTGGAGAGAGATGTTACAGAGAGCACAGGTCCAAAGACCCACTGCCTGGATGTGACCAGGACCTTCAGGATGACAATCATGAACCGAGGGAAGAGGAACGGGAAAGGGTACCCAGAGGAGTTGATGTATAGGAATAGAACAAAAGAGATGGAAATAGGAAATAAATTACATACAGATTGCTGGTCTATTCTTCATCTGAAAAGGATGCTTCAGCATGGACCAGAGCAGTGATGGTGACCAGGTGGCCTTAGGAAAGAAAGGATAGTTAGATTTGAGGTCAGAACTTGGGCCTTGCTGCTCCTCGTGTTTTATAGCCCAGCACAGAACTTAATTCTTCATCTCTGCAGGTCTATCTTAGAACCTCATTACTTCACCTCTGCAATGAGAAAGGGCTAGGACCTTCAGGGCCCCTTCCTAGCCAAAATTCTATAACTGTAACTAGGAAGAGATGCCTGTGTCATCCTGTCCTTCCTAAAGGCAGCCATTGTCCCCATGGCCTCCTGTGCATGGACAAATAAGAAAAAACCCGGCCCTTGCCCTTGCAGTCTCCTGGAAGCCACTCAGCTGGTGAGGATTGCAACAATGGCTTCCCCCCTTTGGGTCTACACTGCCATGATCAGAAGCAGTAATCTGCATTCTTTCTTTTTTTGTTTGAGACAGAGTCTCGCTTTGTTGCCCAGGCTAGAGTGAGTGCCATTGCGTCAGCCTAGCTCACAGCAACCTCAAACTCCTGGGCTCAAGCAATCCTACTGCCTCAGCCTCCCGAGTAGCTGGGACAGGCATGCACCCCATGCCTGGCTAATATTTTCTATATATATTAGTTGGCCAATTAATTTCTTTCTATTTATAGTAGAGACAGGGGCTCACTCTTGCTCAAGTTGGTTTCGAACTCCTGACCTGGAGCAATCTGCCTGCCTCAGCCTCCCAGAGTGCTAGGATTACAGGAGTGAGCCAGCGCCTGGCCAAGAATCTGCATTCTTATACAAATCCCCAATATTTGGAGGAAAAGTTTTTAATCTCATTGGGCTCCCCAAGTTGCACTAGGAGTGGTTTGTATAGCTTCTTTTTTTTTTTTGGAGACAGAGTCTCACTTGTTGCCCTAGCTAGAGTGCTGTGGCATCAGCCTAGCTCACAGCAACCTCAAACTCCTGGCTCAGAGATCCCTGCTCAGCCTCCTGAGTAGCTGGGACTACAGGCATGCACCACCATGCCCAGTATTTTTTCTATATATTTTTAGTTGGCCGATTATTTCTTTCTATATTTTTTAGTAGAGATGGGTCTCACTCTTGCTCAGGCTGGTTTCGGACTCCTGAGCTCAAACAATCTTCTCAACTTCTCTTTGTATCCATCAGGTGAGATCCTGGAAGATGTATTACCTAGAAAGAGCTATTGATATCTTTGCTGTTGCAAGATCATAGGAAAACTAGTAATAATTTCTTCACAGTTCAAATTTTTGAACCCCTGGTCACCAGCTTGGCAACAGAGCTACCCGAATCAGAATGGTCATGAGAGATCTTGTAGCATGGTGTGCACTTAAAACATCCAACAGGCTGATCGCGTGGGCAAATGCCTTTATTAAGATAAGGTCATTGGCTGGGCATGGTAGCTCACACCTGTAATCCTAGCACTTTGAGAGGCTGGGCGGGAAGATCACTTGAGCCAGGAAGTTTAAGACTGACTTGAGCAACAGAAGCCCCAATCTCTAACAAAAGAAAAGAAAGAGGAGAGGAGAGGAGAGGAGAGGAGAGGAGAGGAGAGGAGAAGGAGAGGAGAGGAGAGAGAGAAGGAGAGGAGAGGAGAGAGAGGAGAGAAGGAGAGGAGAGGAGAGGAGAGAGAGAAGAGGAGAGGAGGAGAGGAGAGGAGAGAGGAAGGGAGGAGAGAGAGAAAGGAGAGAGGAGAGAGAGAGAAGAGGAGAGGAGGGGAGGAGAGGAGAGGAGAGAGAGAGGAGAGGAGAGGAGAGAGAGGAGAGGAGAGAGAGAGGGAAGAGAGAGAGAGAGGAGAGGGAGGAGAGAGAGCAGAGAGAGAGGAGGAGAGGAAGAGAGAGGAGAGAGAGAGAGGAGATGGAGAGAGAGAGAGGAGAGGAGGAGAGGAGAGAAGAGAGAGAGAGGAGAGAGAGGAGAGGAGAGGAAGGAAGGAGAGGAGAGGAGAGGAGAGGAGAGAGAGAGAGGAGAGGAGAGGAGGGAGAGAGGGAAAGGAGAGGAGAGGAGGAGAAGGAAGGAGAGAGAGGAGAGGAGAGGAGAGGAGAGGAGAGAATCGCTGGTGTGGTGGCATACCCCTGTAGTCCCAGCTACTCAGGAGGCTGAGGCAGGAGGCTTGCTTGAGCCTAGGAGTTTGAGATTGCTGTGAGCTGGGATGACACCACTGCACTCTAGCCTGGGCAACAGAGTGAGACCATGTCTCAAGGAAGATGAGGTCATATGGAAAGGCAGCAGAACACAGTGACAGGGAGCAAGGAGCAAGTGCCTGATGACCTGGGTTCTAATCCCACGTGAATCTAGGAAAGTTAGTAGTCTCCCTGTCCTCAGCTCTCTGCAATGCCACATTAAAATGTCAATAGGGGCCCGGTGGGGTGGCTCACACCTGTAATCCTAGCACTCTGGGAGGTGGAGACGGGTAGATTGCTGGAGGTCAGGGGTTCAAAACCAGCCTGAGCAAGAGTGAGACCCTGCCTTACTATAATAGAAAGAATTTAATTGGCCAATAATATATATAGAAAAATTTAGCCAGGCATGGTGCTCATGCCTGTAGTCCACCTACTCAGGAGGCTGAGGCAGAAGGATTGCTTGAGCCCAGGAGTTTGAGGTTGCTGTGAGCTAGGCTGATGCCATGGCACTCACTCTAGCCTGGGCAACAAAGTGAGACTCTGTCTCAAAATAAATAAATAAATAAATAAATAAATAATAAATAAATAAATAAAATGTCAATAGGATGTACTTGGTATTGTGGTATGAAGCTAAAAATGAGTGAATACGGGTAAAAGCTTAAGAAAATAATTGATTTGTCATTAGTGCTATATAAATGTTTATTTTTTCAATGTCTGGAAGAATAAGTAGACAGTTGGTAGTGGATAAATACAGAAAGGGTACTTGGCTGGCTACAGGAAAGGAGGGGATGGAAGTTTACTTCTCATCCTTTCTAAGGTTATGATGCTTTACAGCTCTTGGTGGACAATATCTTGTATTATCTCGTTATCCCCATATCAGCCCTGTGGGGTGGGCAGACGAGGGGATGCATCTCATATTTTATTACAATGTAAAGAGGTTCAGTGACTTTCCCAGAGTCCCTGTGCCGATGAGTGATGGGTCTGGGACAGGAATGTAGTCCGTTCCCTGGAGACAGAGACCCCTGAACCCCAGAGACCTCTAAACCACACCCTGGAAACCTGGTCCAAGCACTCCCCTTGCTCTTTCTCAAATTTTCCTGTCCCAAGATTTCCATGGGGAGTGAGCTGATACCCTGAAGAAGGTCCCCGAGCCCAACAAAGAGCCCAAGTCATGACCCAGCCTCTTCCTGCCTCTAGGTTTCAATCCCTGACCAGAATATGACAGTTTCTTCTAAACAAAGCCCCTCTGAAGGACAAAAGGAAGTCCAAACTTGTGGCCATCTCCCCCAGCATTTTCTTACTGTCAATTGCCTCTCGGCGAGCCTTCCTGATGACCGACCATTTGATCACCCCCAGGTGACCCAGGTCTGCTGGGTTCCCAAGCTGGCTCAGAACTCAGGACATTCCAAACCAACTGCCACAGGACAGCTGTGCCAAGAATTCACTTCCCTTCAACTGACAAAGTCTGGATGAGCAGGTAGGGGGAGTTCACTGTGAATGCGGCCATCTGGGCTGATGCTTCAGTGGTTGAGTGATTTAAATCTGTGACCCCACCACCGTCTCATGACTGTTGATCTGAGCAACTGTCTGAGCAGCCTGGACTCCGGCCTGGCTGAGAATGGGCAGTGCCTGCACCAGTGCATGGTGTACACATCCCTGCTCATGTCTTTCCTCACCAAAGCTCGGTCTCTACTGTGCAAGCTCCTCATCCCTCCCTAGACCCTGCAGGGGCAGGGGACAGAGTCCTATCTCCTTTTAGAGGGACATCTGGGCCATTCAAACAGGCTGCATGTCTTTGTCTTGGAACCAACTGTACCAATTGACTGGACTCCCAGAGGAATTATGCCAAGCCCAGCACTATAGACGAAGGACAGAAGGCATCTTTCGTCCTTGTCATCTAGATGTAGACACAAATGCACATCCTTACTACAAACTTAACCCTCTTGGTGGAGAGTAAGCATACAGCTAACACAACAGCGAGTTTCAGAGCTAGGGAACATCTACCACGCACAAGCATCATTGCATTTAACTCTCATTACAGCCCTACCAGGAAGGATCTGTTATCCGAGCCATTTTACAGAAAAGGAAACTGAGGCCCAGAGGAGTTCAACCACACAGTCAGAAAGTAGCAAAGTGAGAACTTGAACCCAAGCATTTTGCCTCTAGATTACTTGCTTGTAACCACCTCAGTCTACTTTTGCTTAGAGCAGTTCAGGGTAGAGAAAGAGGCAAATAAACAGACTTTCCATAAAGAAAGTTAAAAGCATGTGGTCATGAAAATGATGAGGTCGTGGCGGCCTTCCAGACCCTAGAATGTGCAGAGGAAAACTGTGGCTTCCAGACACGCCATCCAGGGGGGTGATGCAATTGCTTGGCAATTCCTGTTGTGTGGCAAATGTCTCACTGAACTCCTTCAAATCTGGAATTAGGTGTGTCCTTCAGTCACCAGTTCGGTGGAAGAGTCAATAATGTCATGGTCTTGAGGCAAACACACAAGAGGCAAAGACCCCGGCACATCCCCTATGGAAATATTAATACTAAACACACAGCAAAAACAAAAATCAGGGTAGCTGCTTCAAATACTCTTCACTCCTGCCCTGTCCTCTCCATGAGCAAGAGCCATTCCATACAAATTTCTAAACAGAAAGAATGGAACAACGAACTTACATCTGTTTCCTGTTGATTGAAAATAAGTGTTTAGAGACAGATTTCAAATGCTTTGCTTATTGGGGGTGTTAGTCCTTGAGTCTAAACACAAACTTGGAAAGGCCACCAATGAAGAAAGTGAGGCTCATTTACACAGAAAACTTTTTGATCAGGTTCACAATATTCTCTGGAATATAGTTGTGACTTGGTTGTTGTCATACAAACAAATGAAACAGGTGACTTTAGAAGTGCTCAAAGTAGGCCAGGCATGGTGGCTCACACCTGTAATCCTATCATTTTGGGAGGCTAAGGTAGGAGGATTGCTTGAGGCCAAGAGATGGAGACTAGCCTGAGCAAGAGTGAGATTCCCATCTCTACAAAAGATAGAAAAAGTAGCCGGGCATGGTGGCACACGCCTGTAGTCCCAGCTACTCGTAGGCTGAGGCAGGAGGATTGCTTGAGCCCAGGAGTTTGAGGTTGCAGTGGGCTGTGATAACGCCACTGTACTCTAGCTTGGATGACAGAGCAAGACTTTGTCTCAAAACAGAAAAACAAACAAATAAAAAACAAGTGCTCAAAGTAGATGTACTCAAATTGACAGAGGGCAAAAGTTGCTGAGTTGATGGTTTCAAAATTAGTATGTTGATGTAACTAAATTTGACCTTGTCTCAGGCCAGAAGAGCATAAACACAATTCTGTTTAAGAAAAATGGAGAAGATGACCCTGATTACCAGCAAAGGAAGCAAATGGTACAGGACAGGACAGCTGATTCTCTGCTCTAAATGTACCTAAAAATATACACCCTGCAGCTGTATTTTAAATATAGAATGTTTTTGGAAGCCAGTCTCCTGTCATTATTTGATGCTCTACTTATGCTGGGGCTTTAAAATTTTTTAAATGCCATCACACTCTGGGAGGCCAAGGCGGGCGGATTGCTCGAGGTCAGGTGTTTGAAACCAGCCTGAGCAAGAGTGAGACCCCGTCTCTACTATAAATAGAAAGAAATTAATTGGCCAACTAATATATATAGAAAAAATTAGC